AAATAGGGTCGTATCATTAGTAAAAATTAAAAATAAATATATAATTTTTGTATTCATTTAAAGAAATTAATTGTAAAAAAAAGATCATCCACAGAATTAAAACTTACAATATTGTCAACATAAGATTGACTTTTACTAGATTCATGTTCTTCACCATGTACTTCATTATTTGGTCTGAAAAATAAATGCAATTGATTTAAACATCTAGCTTTATAAAAATTAAACGCAAAAGCAGAGTAATTTTAAAAGAATAGGGTATATATGAATGAAATATTTTAAGCATAATTCTGAATTTTGCAAAAATGCATTTTACCATGAATGCAAGTTTTTTTAAATATTTTTTGTGAGCAAAGCATAGTTTAAAAGTTGAAATTTAAAAAGGAATAATCTGTTTCATTTTTTAACAATATTATTCATTAAATGTTAAAGCGTATCCAAATGGTACGGCACTCAAGGTATATATATATATTATATATTTATGTCTATGTGTATATATATTTACACAAGCACAACAGTAAAAACAAAGAAACAACGTCGGAAGACAATAGTTGATTCTTATAATATTAGATATTTTCCTTAATTCGAACAATGTTATACGTATGTAACAATGGGTAACTGCTCTTCTGCCGTCGGTAATATCGGTAATGAGCACACTCGCCGCAATCCAAAAAAAAAAACAATGAAACACAAACAGCACACAAGAAAAAGGCAAACCAGTTAAGGTCAACGTCGGAATCGATAATTGTAGACAAATTGTCGCATCATACACAGTAGTTATAAGTATTGAACAATTATTGACTTACCGCCATGTTCCTTGTGTGTGTGGTCATTGATATTGCGCTCAACACTTACCGTATTAGACTGAAACCTTCAGTCTCGTTGGCAAGAGGGTATGGACTATTCGGTCCGGTCATCCGTAACCTACGGATGACGTCAGGACCGAAGGGGAAAAAAAAAAAGAAGGAAACTCCTCGCCCGATTACTCGGGACGAAGGGTTTCACGATGGAAACGGGGAGGAGAAGGAGAGTCTGCAAGGAATCCGTCCACGGCGCGTCCAAAATCGTCCACGGCGTCCTCGACTTTCATGGGGGCCGGTCCAGCTGCGGTTGTTGTTGCTGTGGAGGAGTGTCGCATGATCTCTGATAGTGATGCTGGACGGGTCATTGGCGTGGGCATTGGAGGCGCCGGTGTAGCTGGTGGCCCCACCACTTCTGTGCGAAGACAACACAAAATTTTTTTTGTTTGTAGGATAAATGGTTTGCTTTATAATACATCACGTCTCCAACCGTAAAAGGTTTTACTACGTGTTTCGTCGGATTGATATCTATAATTTTTCCGGTCTGACGTGTTTACATGTACGACCGCCCAGTCATCAGGTCGTTTCGCCTCTCGGCCGAGAACGTGTACGGAAGGCAGTTAACCGGTTTTTTATTACGACGATTACACAACGCAAATAGTATCGACGGTATTTTCGTGTCCCAGGTGCTATGGTCGCCCTCTACTAGTAGGGCGCGGAGACCTTTTTTTAGCTCCTGATTTTTTCGTTCTACCGGATTTGCGCGCGGATGATAAATAGGTGTGGTCCAGGCTTCCGCCCCCCATCTATTTATCGCGTTAATCATTTCGTTAGAAACCAGATTCCGTCCGTTGTCGCAAAGCAATACGCGGGGGTACCCAAAACGTGAGAAAAATTCGCGTTCGAGCGTGTCTACAATCGTTTTTGTAGTCGCTGCGCCTATCGGGTACGCTTCGGTCCAGCGACTGAAACAGTCAGTTGCTACTAACAGGTTCGTTTTTCCCCTTGGTGTTCTGGGATACTCGCCCATTAAGTCGATACTAATGACCTCCTACGGTTGTCTTTGTTTGAGCGAAGTTAGAGAATCATTGGGACGCATATTTAGGGCCTTTGTACACGCGCAAACATCACACGATTTTACGTACTCGCGTAATATGTTTTTCAGGCCCTTCCAATAGAAACGCTGTTTGATCGCTCGGTAGGTTTCTTTCCAATTCTGGATGACATGCCAGTGCATCGTCGTGGTAACGCCAAATCACACGCTGTGATTTGGCTACTGGTATTACATCTGGTGTGTCTACGCTCATACGAATGCGTATAAGTCCGTCTAACATGAAGTATTCGTTGTTGTTCTTGCTAGACTCCGTTTATCTGATGCGCCGTTTGTTTCGGTTAAGGCAAAAACATTGTCAAGAGTGGCCCGCGTGTTATCGTCGTTGGTGCGCCCACCAGATTGTTGTCGAGTAACTCTTCGTCCCGCGGTCGGGTAACGTGGCAACATGTCTGGTCCCTCGTTGTATTTCCCGGGTACATGTGTCGTCGTTGTAAAATTCAAATTGCCTAGATGGAGCGCCCACCTAGTTAATTTTGAATTGATGTCGTTTGCTCTGTGTAGTCAAGTCAACGCGGAATTATCTGTAAATAATTCGAACGGAGAATACTCTAAGTACGGGCGAAATTTATCAGTCGCCCATATAATTGCTAAGCATTCTCGTTCTACGGAGGCGTAACGTTTCTGCGTTTTTGATAGTTTCTTACTGGCGTAGAATATTATTCTTCTCTCTCCCAGTTCATTTCCGCGTTGAAAGAGTATTGCTCCCACGCCCATTTCACTCGCATCGGTTTGAAGGCTGAAAGTTTTGGCGTAGTAAGGAGACGCGAGAACTCGCATAGGGCCTTTTTTACCTGTTCAAAAGCTCTTTGATGGTCTTCCGTCCTCAACCATTTCGTCCCCCTTCTTAGTAGATTTTTCAGCGGCGTAGTTGTCGACGAATTGACAATACCAATTAAATATGCAGAGACATCTACGTAGATATTCCGTGGGACCGACAGGACGCGGATAGACTCGAGTTTTTCGGGCTGCTTGTCTATGCCCTCACCGTGTACAATATGACCCAAAAAGGAAATTTCGGAAAACCCTATTTTACACTTTTTTGTGTGACATGTCAGCCCGTGTCACTGTAATCGTTCTAGAACTTTGCCTAAATGTTCTAAATGCTTTTCTAAACTACTTGAATAAATAATTATATCGTCCAAGTAAACTTGGACAAAATCATCTAGATATGTTCCAAGAACTTCATTCATAAGTCTTACAAAAGTCATAGGCGAATTTTTGAGTCCAAACGGTAGTACACGAAATTGAAACAAGCCCCTTCTCGTTCTAAATGCCGTAAACTTACGAGCTTTTTGATTTAAAGAGCATTGACAATAACCCGACTTTAAGTCGATAATCTATACATAAACGAAAAGTCCCGTTCTTCTTCTTGGCCAGCACGATCGGTGCTGACCGCGGCGATACACTCGGTTCTATTAGCCCAAGCGCCTCCGTGTCGTTTACCATATCGTCAATAACCTCCTACTTATGTAGGGGGTAGGGGTACGGTTTTAGTGCGATAGGAGCGGGTCTTTTCAGTAGAATGTCGTGTACGATCAATTTTATGCGACTCACTGTATCGTTAAAGACCGCTGCGTAATTACATATCGTCTGTGTTAATAACGCGCGCGTTTGCAGGTCGCCGGTTATATCTAACTGCGTCAGATGTAGTTTGCGGATCGCGTGTCGTGCGCCCGTTTTCCAACAAGCGGTTGTACGTTTCTTAGAGCCTAAGTGTATTGTTCCTGCTGAGTAGTCCCAGGCGACTTTCTGATCAATCAGAAAATCATGGCCAAGTAATACATCGCAACACAGGTCGTCTAAAATAACTACTGAAAAACGCACTTCTAAATCCGCGATTTTGGCGATAAACGTGGCGGTACCGTTCGTCGTGGCGATGTGTCCGTCCGCTAGTCTAACTGCGTCAGTGTGTCCTTTATAAACAGTTCCGTATTTGTAAGCAATTGCCGGTTTTACATACGATTTATGCGCCTATGAGTCGAGTAGGGCTGTGACGAAGGCAGTTTCGAATTCTAACTCGACTTTGTTGGCCATTACTCGGGTGGTTTACGGTTCGAACGGGAGGCAGCTGGTTCTTAACCACGACGTTCGTTTGCCCACTGACAGTGTTAACTGCCATTAATGGACTTGCCAGAGACACCCCCTCCTCCACTGTGCCCGAAAAAATTTCGAACACCTGACTCGCGCTTTGGTAGTTCGTGTCGGCAGTGTCTTCGAATTCCGATACCCTGATTACATCCGAATTTACCGCGGCGTCCCCTCCATTCCGATAAGAGGGGTGCGGTGCCGAAAAAGTGCCAAGATCGTTTTAAACGAAACGTCATCTAAAACAAACGCTGCGCCCTGTTTGGTTCTGTTGTAAGCTGGAGAGGCGGACTAATTCCCTCCTAGCCGATTGCCGTTTCCGGATACCGACGATCTGTTTGGACACCGGTGGTGCCAGTGTCGCTCGCCGCAATATCAGCACGGGGTAGGTGGTGCGTCCGCATTTGCAACCCCCGCTCGCTGTCGGGCAGCTGGTTGCGCGGTATACCGCGGAGGCAGATCGGCTGGCTGTCGGGACGCTGGCGAAGCGTACCAAGGAACCGCGGTTTTATCTACGTCGTGCGCAATCTCACGTAGATCGGCGAATGACGCTGTGTGCATTAACCGTATCATAGCGCGGTAATCCTTCCGTAAATGGCCCGTTAACTGTCGCACAAGTTGTTGCTCCGGTTAACCACAACGTACTCGCGCGGCCGCAAAACGTTGTTTATGAATAATAAACTCGGTTAACGTTTGTCGGGGGCCCTGTCGCGTCGTTTTTAAGTCCGTCTCGAGCTAAGTTCTGATATCGATATTGTCGAATTCCTCGAGTAATTCGGACCAAAATTCCGCCCTTGGCATATTGTTTAATTTAATCGCTCGCCACCAATCACCTGCCCTATCGTCCAGAAACGGGACGGCAATGTTCACCCACGCGGTTACACCATACCGCCCTGACAGAGTGGATCCTCCGCTCTGTCTAGAAACTACCGTGCGTTATCGAGCGGGCAACGTATACGTCCTTGACGTACGGTGCGCCTAGTTGATCGCTTGCGCGCGTAATTTCCCCCGGTCGTTCGACATAAGATTCGTCTTCTGATGTGCGTAGCGCGAAGTTCACCGGATGTGTGCCCCGGTAAAGGTGCTACGCCAGGCCGCTGATAGTTCGCTGACACGGTCCGTGGAGTTGTCTAAAACCCTCACTTCGGGTTCGCGGACCGGAATTTCGCTATCGACCGGCGTACGGGGCGGTAAAATTTCGGTAGCTGGATTCCTCCCTTTGCTACGTATGTTTTCCTCTAGCATAATTAGCATGTTTGGTATCGTCGCGTAGCACGGCAGCTGTCTG